TAGCAACCTCAAACTCCTAGACTCAAGTGAACCCCATGCCTCAGCCTCCAAAGTAGCTGGGACTATAGTTGCTCATCATAATGTCTTGCTATTTTTAGAGCCGAAGTCTCGCTCTGGCTCAGGTTGGTCTCAAACTTGTGAGCTCAGGCAAGCCACCCACCTCGGCCTCCCAGAGTGCTAGGATTACAGGTGTGAGCCGCCTCGCCCAGCCTTCTAAGTAAACTTCTTAAGAATTCTTGGGCAGTGCTCGTAACTCAGTGGATAGGGCACTGACCAGATAAACCAAGGCTGGTGGGTTCAAACCCAGCCTGACCAGCTAAAAACAACAACAACAATGACAACTGCAACAACAACAAAAATAATAGCTGGGCGTTGTGGCAGGTTCCTGTAGTCCCAACTACTTGGGAGGCTGAGGCAAGAGAATCGCTTAAGTCTAAGAGTTGGAGGTTGCTATGAGCTAAGATGCCATGGCACTCTACCAAGGGTGACTAAGTGAGACTCTGTCTCAAAAAAAAAGAATTCTGCACACATCTCCTAGGTGCCCCACTGTGTCCTCTAATTTGGCCCTGTCAGCTTATTTTACAGATGATGAAACCAAGGCCTAGACAGGTGAGGCAATGGCTATTCATTAAGCAAGTCTTTACCAAGGATCTAGGCCACAGAGTGGGCAAAACCTGCTCCATGCCCAGGGGTCTGCAGTCTAGGGGGCATGTGTCAGATACTCGCATGTGCTGGGATTACAGGTGTGAGCCACTGAACCCAGCAGCTTGTTCTTTCTTTCTTTTCCTTTTTTTTTTTTTTTTTGAGACAAGAGTCTCACTTTGTCACTGTGATGCAGTGACATCACACAGCTCACAGCAACTTCCAACTCCTGGACTTAGGCAATTCTCTTGCTTCAGCCTCCTGAGTAGCTGGAACTACAGGCGCCTGCTATTTTTATTAATTAATTAATTTATTTATTTATTTTAAGATAGTCTCAAGCTGTCGCCTTGGGTAGAATGCCGTGACGTCACAGCAACCTCCAACTCTTGGGTTTAAGCGATTTTCTTCCCTCAGCCTCCCAAGTAGCTGGGACTACAGGTGCCTGC